TGTTGGCTGGCTTTCTGTTTCCTGTTTCCTGGCCTTTGCATCTGGGTCACCCATACAAATGAGTAAGTTATGGAAAGAACAGACAGAGTACAGTTAAGAACAAGACACATACGAATCCATTGACAACATCTGGTGTGGACCCCTCAACAAAATCACCTTGGTATTCATCTTTCAAAATCTCCGAATTATCCTGAACAGCACAACACATTTTGAAGTTATATAAAATGAAAAGAAATATAATATTGGCAATTTCCATGTGATGTCCACGACATTCCTTCCAAATGTTGGTTGTGCACCGAAGGAAACATGCGGTTAGTGTTGTCGCTCGTCCCCGCGCAGCATCGTTGGTAATTTTTGCTTGTTTTAAGAGTCATCAATTAGTATTAAATTGAGGATTATTAAAAAACTTAAATATACTGGTTTTTATCAGAAATTCAATTCAAGACTAAAATAAAAGGCCAACGGCGGTTGACTTGTGTTTTCTGGAGATGGGGAAGAATGGACCAGCTGTGGGGCTGTTGGGTGGGGGAGCTGGGTATGTGTGGGTCTGGGAGGCGTTTGGCTGGGGAAATGGTTTTTTTTTCTTGGGGAAGAAAAGCAAAGGAAGAGGGCGGCCCTGGTCCGGTGAGGGAGAAGAAGATGGGGATGGTTGTCTGGTGAGGTCAAAAGACTGGCTGTGAGAGGGGACTGTTGATCTATGGCGGGCTGCTGTGGGGAAGGAAATGTTAGTGACAGATCAGGGGGCGGCTGCCTTGTTTTTCTTCCAACGGCTGCTCTCAAAGATATATTTTTTGAGGTTTTCATTATTTTCTTGTTATTTTTAATTTTTTAAAAAAATTTATCAAAAACATAGATAAAGATAGCAACAAGTGTGAATCACAGTCAAAAGAGCTAGTGTCATGAATCACACGAACATCTTTCACATATATTTGCTTTGTTCTTGAAAAAAAAATAATTAAGAACTCTATGAAAGTCCACCCACAAATTTAATCAAAGTCAACAAAGATGCAAATTAACTTATCCCACCTGAGCTAACTTATGAAAGTCTGACCTGATAATACAGATGCATAAGGTCATTTTGAGATCGATCGCAATAACAAAGAAAAATAAATACGCAACTCAGCTTTCATATGAATGCAGTTTTCAAAGGAATGGAGTAACTCAGCTTCCCTTGCATGCGTGAAGCAATCATGCGCAATTTTCAGATGAATGCCTGTCAGGAGTCAGCAATAGCAAAGCTGCAGAAAGTATCAGGCGCACAAGGGAAGTACTTAAGTTACTGAAAAAGTCGAAATAGTACATCTATGGTAGATTCGGTGGTGAGAAATAAACAGGTCCAGTGACGGGAATTGCAATCCAACAGCAAACCTTGAATTTAAAGAGGATGTCTATTTATTGTAGAAGATGAAGTTCACTGTAGCATATATAAAATGCATATCCAGAAGTTAAGTTTGCAGTCTACAGTAACTTGCACTTGCTATTAAGGGAAGGTTACAGAAAAAGCATATCCAGGAGTTAAGGCCAATGTTATCTCACAGATGTAAGACAAAATGTGGCAAAATTTTGAACCAAAATTCAAGACAAGAAGAATGACAATTGATTTCTTTAAGAGGTACGAGGTACAAAATGTCTTGAGCATGTTTGAGATTATTTGTTTAAGTTTCCAGCGTATGAGCATACTAAAAGGCATCGCCTATTTTTGTAAAACTTAATTGCGCACAAGCCAAAAACTATAAGGATTAAAAAATACTGTTTAATTCACCTATAATGATGCATGAGCTTGTATGTTGATGCATCCCTGGAGGCTAGAATCTCAGAAAGGAGTTCACTCAAGAAAAAGCACCCACAGCAGTTACATATGGACTATATTAATCAGCAAAAATCAACACTAAATACAGAAACGAAGGAATAAGTTTAATCAGCCTATATTAGTTCTTAAAAATGTGTACACGCATGATATAACGTTGGTCATTGCCCTAGAAACTTTAGGATTTTGAAAGAGAAGCATGAGATGGTTAAAGAGCAATGAAATCAAAACTTACGTGTAGCCAATTAATAGTTTAATGACAGAGATGATCCATATCCTGAGTGAATCATAAACAATCAGAACACTATAAACCTGAAAAATTTGGAGCACAATCAAGTATATCATAACCATGTTGGGATGTTGTTATTAATAGATAATAGCATCTGCAGCCCTATCCTAAAAAGAAGGGATACTATTGTTAAAAGACTACACTAATAAGTGGAAATTATCAAATAAGTTACATCAATTATTGAGAAAATAGTGTAATTCATGTGCTGTCACTATTAATACTATAATTTATGGCAAAATTATTTTACCATTCATACCTATAAATAAAAGCATTATTTGATAGCAAAAAGTAAAAGAGAGTGAGAATAAATGAAAAGAAGAGAGATGGGCTACAATGTCAGCAGTCTTGTTACCATTGTAGCAGTTGCAAGTACAACAATGAAAAATTGTAGTTGAGAAGAGTAGATGTGATTCTCTTCTTTCATGTATTTGTATTGTATTATTTTTCTATCTCTAATAATATGGATCTTTTCCATAGATGTAGGTGATTTGTCAAATCATGTTAAATATTGTATCAATATGCTTAACCTCCAATAAACAATAATTAGAACATCACCGGTCTGAATTTCCAACATACCATTAACAACAGTCAGAGAGAAATTGCATCTATTATGAATTTATTCCACATAATTATCATATATGCAGATCATTTGCACACCTGAACTTCTTGCTTAAGATCCCCATCAATAGCATAGAACTATACTGACAATAAATCAATCAAGGGATGATAGCGAAACATAGTTCATGCATATCAACTCTAAAAGCACTCTGCTGAAACAACCACATTACAATTTTTTTTAATAAAAAAAAGCTTCATTGCGTAGCAATTTGCGAATTGAATTTCACTGTGTATTAACGAAATACAATAACAGTATGTATCATTTACTCATGGAATTACCATGTCACGTATCACTTAGTCTCCCAATTCACCATGTCTCTTTCTTTTTGACATAATAATGAAATTTTGCTGCAATCAAAAAAATTCATCAGGGGATCCATGTCCGCCAAATTAGTAGGTGTGCTATTTTTACAAAATGCAACTGCAACATAAGTCACACAAACACAC